GCGCCCTTCTTTCCTTCTCCGTCAGATCATCCTTGATCCATTCCGTCCTTTCCTTTAGGTTCTTCTTCCCTCTCATCACCTCTATTTTATCCCCCATACTCACGAACCTCACTAACACCATTTCCTTCCCCTCCTCATTCTTTCTACCTATCCTCCTTATCTCTTCTATCTTCGCCTTCGTTCCCGTTTCTTCAATGATTCCCTCTACCTCGTCTCTTAGCCCTTCCCATCCCTCTTTCTTTGCCTTCACCCCTCTTATCACCGAAAGGAGGTAATGTATTTAGGACACATAATAAGCGAAGATGGCGTACGACCAGATCCAAAAAAGGTAGAAGCAGTACAAAATTTTCCAATTCCTAAAAATGCGAAAAACGTAAAGCAATTTCTTGGTCTAGCTGGATATTATCGTAGATTTATTCAAGGATTTTCAAGAATAGCTAAACCATTAACAAATTTATTAAAAGGGGATGCTGATTTTAAATGGGGTGAAAGAGAAAAGGAAAGTTTTGAAATATTAAAGAATGCACTTTGTCAAGAACCAGTATTACAATATCCAGATTTTACTAAACATTTTCTTTTAACAACAGACGCATCAGGAACCGCAATAGGCGCAATATTGAGCCAGGGAGAAATAGGAAAAGATTTACCAATCAGTTATGCCTCACGAGTGTTAAATGATGCAGAGAAAAATTACTTGTTGTGCCCCGATTGCCGAAAGAGGTAACGAGGGCACTCAAGCAGTGTTACTGCAATTAGAATAACACTAGCGTAAGCATATTGCGCGATCGAGCCACAAAAGCCCGACCGCGCAACCTAATTAAATTCGGAGAAGAAGTCAGCAAGTTCTCGATCCGATTACGCATAGCCTCGATCGAGTACCGAGAAACCTCGATCGACTACCGAGAACGCTGACGCCTCGATCATCGGGTTTAAAACCGGAGGAAAGCCCGAGATCGAGGCACTTGTCACTATCGCGTATCCGATAACATACTGTACGCGTTAAACACTTGTCCGTCAGGCCTTCGGCCTGCCGTCAACCAATATTGTGAAACTCAGTTAAATAAAGTTAATCTGTGAGATCCAACGGTGCCTTCTTGAAGTGACCTCCGACCAGCCACATCCCATCAAAGAACCCCTTCGGTTCTCGTCAGAGAACACCTCCGGAGCGAGTAAGAAGGAAAATACACCGCGCACGGAGCGGCGCGGCAACATACTCAACAATAGAGAAAGAATTATTAGCAATTGTATACGCTGTACAACATTTCAGACCTTACCTTTATGGAAAAACATTTAAATTAGTAACTGATCATAAACCATTAACTTGGCTTCATAAATTAAAAGATCCAACCTCACGTTTAGCTAGATGGAAAATTAAATTGGCCGAATATGATTATGAAATAATTTATAAACCGGGTAAAATAAATGCAAATGCTGATGCTTTATCAAGAAATCCTACGACAAATATATACCCAATAAATCCATCTTATGATGAAATTGAAGAATGCTCAGAAGATGAAGAGGCAAGAGAAAGAAATGCAAATCCTAAACCTTTACTAGCCTTTCCAAGAAGAGGAATGATGATAGAAGAACCAGAACCAATAGTTTCAGGAATTCAAACGCGTAGTTTAGAAAAATCAGAGGGAGAAAGCGTACCATTTACTAGAAAAGAATTAAATGAACCACTATTTTATGAGCATACATTTCAAACTGAAATACACAATATTCCATTAAACCAACAAGAAAACATAAATGAACCACCAGAAAACACTAATGAAACAGAATCTCTAACTATAACAGAACTAAATGAAACCGAAAATGACACTCAGAACATTCAACTCGAGACAGGAATTTTACTCTCAGAAAATTTAAACAAAAATAATAATGATAAAATTGCTAATACCTCTAATTCACAGATAATAATACCACCTAATCTTTTACAGATAATAAATAATTTAGCAGGAGATTATAACTATGATGAAATTTGTCATGAGAAAAATTCAGGTACAGATTTTCATGAAGTTTTGAGAGATGAAACAAGAGGAAATAATTCTAATCCAGAAGGTGATCAAGACAGCCTGAGCTACGATGAAGACTCGAACGAAGAAGATGAAGATAACTTTGAAGAAGAAGATGATGACAGTGACAAAGACATTGACGAAACATATAACGACCTTGAATCAGACGATCTAATTAACGAAACAGAAAAACATATGGAAACACGCGGCCAGAAATCTAGTATCATAAACAGTCGCGATCAAATTTTTATGAGAAAAGAAAATTATTTATACCTTTTAACAAAGGACGGGAAACCTTGTGATGAGGGATCTAAACAACTTCAAAAACGAAACTTAATACCTAAAATTAAAGAAGATCAAGTAGGAAACTTTAAAGTAATTAAAAAGGGGAATAAATTTCATTTAGTTTTTATTTGCAAGGATGATATTCAAGACAAAATAACCTCAGAAATATTATTAGAATTTGGAACTAAATTACGCAAAATAATAAAGGAAAATTCAATTAAAGTATTAAATGTTGCTAAATCAAAGGAAATAGATAATATCTCATGGGAAGAAATTTTTAAACAAATTCAACAATCAATACTTGGAACATCAACCAAATTAATAATATGTCATGGACTAGTAAAAATCCCAGAAATCGAAAATCAGAAAGACATAATTGAAGAAGCTCATTCTTCCAAAATTGGAGGTCATAAAGGAATAACTAAAACTTATAATCGAATTCGACAAATTTTACTGGGATAATATTAATCATGATATCCGAAACTATATTAATCAATGTTTACAATGCCAAATTAAAAAATTGTTAGAGTAAAAACCAA